AATTGTTATTGTAACATGCACAAAGAATATATTTTTAAGTTATATGTGATAAAGTGTAGTATTATGTATATAAATAACATAAAATAAAGAGTGACAGTAGGAAAGAAGATTACTGCAGTAATTAAATCTTTTTACTTAAACATCGCAAGGGAATGTTTTAGATCTCTAATTTCCACGATAAAGCAAGACGTAATTTCTCAACGTTGTCGATTGTAACATTTTCAAAGGTCAAAAGTGCGAGATTAAATGGCAGATTTTTTTTTCACTACTTGCTATATTTAATGAAATATCGAATATTAAGATCTGATTTTCTAAAGACTGACATTTAATACTATTACGATATAACTTTATTTCCTTAGCTTTGTCAGATTTTTATTAAAGATATTTCCAAATTTATAATCTTCATTTCACATGAGATTTGATTTATCGCCAAACGTTGTATTCAAATGATGAAAGTATATTTTACATTACTCAAAAAAAAAATGTATAAAAAATATATTATCTGCACGTTATATCAATTACGCGAGATGAAGGCATATAATTAAACCTTGACGAGGACGAGAATATTAAAAAAAAAAAAAAAAAAAAATTCTGTCACTGGAGGGTTGTCAGTGATTCCGTGATGTAAAATAAATAAAGTTGCAAGTTACGTGCGTAATTTTTCGTTCGCGTGATAACACGGGCTCGTCGGACCTAAGAATGTTCCGGCTATAAAAAGCGAAAAGGGAAACGTTAGTTGAGGAGGAAGTAATCTTACCATCTCATCGCAGCCGGCTTCTTTCGCTCGCCTACGTGCGCTCGCGTTAACCATCGTGCCGTTTGCGCTGCGGTGGATCAGCGGATAGTAATCCTCCGCGTCGCTGTTCTCACTGCTGACATTTCCATCGGTGATTTTCTCGTCCGTTAATCGCATCGCGTACTGATGCGCGTAATGCCTCACCGCCATTCTTCTCTCGTCTCGAGTCTCTCACCCTTTTGATAACATTCACTATAATATTTCACCGTGCACCGATATTCCCAAGTCGGTCACCGCATCGCGAGAAATAACGTCGTTACTACTCGCCGTTCCGTTGTGTTCTATTGGATCGCGACGTTTCTGCAGATGCAAAACAGACACTATTGCAAGTGAATATAGATGACAATAGAGGAGGGGGGGGGGGGAGGGAGAATCTGACAATGTGAAAAGAACGTGAATTAAACAGAAGAATTTTTGCACTTTTGCACTTTAATCACTATTTTTTGGATGTTACAATAGTCACTGATTAAATAATTATAATTATATTAATTAATTAATTATATAACGATTAGCGATAAAATGTGTACAGACAATGCTACTGATATTGATAATATTATTGACAATAATAAAAGCCTTGACTTATGAATGTTGAATATTTATTTTTAATATAAGTATTTAATGCTACATTGTTATTGAAGAAATAACTTTTCAATGTTACTTCATTTCGAATGATAAATCATTAGAGATTACTCGAAATTATTGAGATGTTATGTGATATATTTGTTTAATCATATGGAATTTACGATTTCAATATAATTTGATATTATTTCTCACGCAATTGCTTTGCACATTGCGAGTGAATAGAATAACCCGTCAAACGAGATTCTAATGGACTCTCAACGTCACCGGAAATTCAATGTAATCCCAAACACAAATACATTGCGATTAAACCTGATCAGAATGTCCGTACACGTAATAATAATGATAAATTCCTGGCTTATAAAACCTGGCTAAATAACTATATTTAACTTGTGACAATTATATTCTAATTTTGTGTTACAAAGCCGTGACCTACAAACCTAGTTTTACTTGAAAATCTGTCACATATCTCTCTTGTCAACAGATTAAATATAAAGAAAAATATTTTAATATAATACTGATAATTTTATATATATTTAAATAAATTTATGTATATTTTTAAATAAATACTGTGAATTTTAACAAAAAGAAGACATTGTTTTTTTATGTGATAAAATGTTTACTTATATCTAAAAGAAATATATCGCTATGTCTGCACAATCAACAATATTAAGAAACAATGAGTACAAGAAACAATGTTAAACACTACAATATACAATCACATATTTACATAAATTTAAATAATGTGTTCTATTTTCCAAAGATTAGATTTAACAATCACCGACAAACAAACTATCTTATCTATCATTACGCATTCTGCGTAAATAATCCTCCACCGTAATTTGTTTCTATGGGAATTAGGTCGATTCTGAAGGTAAAGCAGGATATAATAATATTGATATTATCTATGTATCTTAACTGGATTTCAATATAGACTGATTAATCGCTCGGTAATTCCCTTGGTAATTTTATCGATTTTTTCTCTTTCATTCTTTTTCAAGAACACGCATTGAAATCACCAATCTCATTCTGCATTATCTCAATTTTTATTATCCGTGACAAATTTTTATTATACATATAAATAAATTTATAAACACACTGTAATCGATATAGCAAAATACCTACGATAATAAATGAGACAAGAAAAGAAATGAGAGGAAAAAACTAAATCGGTATTTTTTTTATTTCGGAGAATATCGGCACAAAGCCTGTAAAATCGACGCCGGTAGGACGTACTTTAGCACACATGAGATTCAGAGATCCCTTAATTTTCACTCTTGCGCGAAATTCCACAGCTCTGCCGAGCTGAGAACTTTCGCGAGGCTGCAAAACGCATATCCCGCTAGAAGCTATGCGAATGCGATATTCACGTGGCAACTCTCGCGATTCAGTGAAAGCACAATCTTTCTCCACAGTTCGCGCAATAGTCGGCGATAACAAAATAAAATTCGCGGTCTCCGCATCGAGAAGCATACGTTCAGCCGCGAGATTACGTTACATATAAACATACGTATAAACATACGTTTTCGGTATCTTGAATAGCATCCAGAAGTCTCGAAGAGCCTCCGAGAGACAGCGCACGTATGAGGAATCGAATTTGAATTGAAAAGTCTCGTTGACGAAATGTCAAAGTCATTTACAAATAATTTAGACAAATTTACAAATGGTTGGCAAACCACTCGAACGTGTAAACTATATAAATCGATGTAACATCCTCTGAATTTTTAAGTAGCATTGAAATTGTGTCCCGAAGAAGACGGTGCAACTTCATGCAGACGGATAAACGTCGCTAATAACACCACGACACGTGTCGACATACTGATTCCATTGTCCGCCTTTGTACACGAACAATAGTACTTTTGCAAGGCAACGTGGCGGTTACGGTAATTATACAAATTACGGTTGTGGTTTCGTAACACCCGTCCTGGCCGGTTCGCGAATTAGCAAACGCACAGGATGCGCCAGAATTTCCGACTTTAATGCCAACAATATAGAATTTTCTCGTCGAGGTTCCGAGCTGATTTTTATCAGAGACCGGTGAGAATCGCGGCTTATCGTTTCGCTTATTTACACTTCATTTCTGAATTTTTCCAGCAGTTTCTTTTCTCTCTCTCTCTCT